CAAGGTAACTTATCGAGAAAACAATTACCATTTACAGGCTAATTGCGATGCTTATCCATGTGCAGCAGCTGGAAGAGATAATTGATAGGGCATGCGATATACGATATACGCCGGCCCCCAATCAATATAAGCCTCAAATTGTCATCGAGAGTTTACATACCCGAAATCCCCTTCGGCGGTTTCGATTCCCCAATCGAAATCAACAATTTATTCATTTAATTCCGGGCATTCGCTGCGATTATTTGCATAAACAGGCCCCCAGACTAACCATTTTGATAAATATTCAATTAGGCATAGACCGAGTGCCATGCAAAATGTGCAAATATCATTTTTATAATTTTCCACTAAACTGCATTCTGCATTTTACGCATTACACATTACGAGTTACACAAATGCAGCTGAGATTGAAATTACAAATTAATCGACTGGGATTTGCAATGCAAAAATTGTGGAATTTGTGATTCAACAGCGGTTTTATTCCACAATCCCCGAACCCTCTTCCTTTAGAGGGGAATTTTTGGCGCCACCTGGCCTTTGGGGTTTCAAAGGCCCCGACTTTTCAGAAAGACGCTAATTATGCTTCAGCCTTTGTATGCTTTGTTGGCACTTCCCGTCGTTAAGTCGGCTGAATCTGAATCTGAACGTTTTATTGGCCATCGAAATGCAATTAAAGGCCATAAAAGGAGTATGTGGCCAACACATGCCACTCGAATCGGTTCCCTTGGTTCTTCAATCTTCAAGGCGGCGCCAAGTTCTTTGATTTCTAACACCTTTTTCCTCTTTTGTTGCTGGGAAGTGTGAACATTTGGTGTGAACTTGTAAAAAAACATTTGTTAACAATGTGATTTCAAGCCGAGAATATTTTTAGGATTGCAAGTGTTGATTGAGATGCAATTTGATTTGTTATTGATTAGTTAACTTTAAAATAGCATATCAATATTGTCTCTATGTTTCTTACATCTGCTCTTCCAAAAAAATACTATGCACTTTGCCTATTAATTTACAAGTGCATTCACTTCGTCTTAAGTTTCAGTTTCCATTTTTATAACCCAGCAATCATAACTCTAAGAATCGAAATTGCTGCACATATCAGCTCCGATATACGACTTAACGATTCAAGTTCATGAGCAATTTTAACGAGTCTTCTGTCTAATCAAGCAACATGACCAAAAAAATGGAGAGGGAAAATTCGGTTGGAAAAACGCCTCAAACAAAAGAAAAGCAAACAGAAACAGAAACATTTCTTATGCATGTAAGTACTTCAGGCGATTACAATTTTTATGTGCACTTCAGCCGATGCTTTACGAGGCCCCGGACACTGCTTTTGCATACAAATACGATTCTAAATATCAAGATATATGTGTCTCCTTATATGTAGTGCGTTGTAGAGGAGAACATTTTTAATGACACTTGTCGAGGAATGCGTTTCACTCAAATCAAAAACACAATTTGTGCATTTTTCCCTAAATGATTTCGTTCGCTGCTGGGTCATATCTTTATTGGATAATGTATTTATATTTTCGGTATATGTGGTTATATAATTTTAATTTCTTTTCATAAGAAAACTGCCCATAAAAGTTTCGAGTGTGGGGGCCATAAAGTGGAAAGATCAGACCCGGTGACTTGTTGTGGCCAAAAGGTGTGAATTTCCCGGGCATTTCACCCGACTCAAGGAGCAAAGGAAAACGGGAAGAGTGTAATAAAAAGTTCCAAAAACGAAATGTTTCGTTTCATCCAAGGGACTTTATGAGTTGGCAATTTGATTTGTATCGTCAGACGTTTTTTATGGGAATTTTTTCTCTAAAAGGAAATCTCTTTTCTCCTTTATCCCCATTTTTTTCTCATATGCACTCCTCAAGTGATGGCAAAATATTAGTTGCTGCCTCTTGAGCAATTTCACGAAACGAATTGTAATCATCGAATTGTATCTAAACAGACGCAAGACGAAGGATCTTCGGTTGCGGTTACTTCAAAGCCCTTATAGAGATCCAGCGAGATCGCAGTGTTTTTGCCTCCCGGCATGTGGCAAACAGATGAGAACCTCAAGATGAACCTTCACTCGAACAGTTGAACCTGCAGAGCACAGCCTAATGAAGCCATTAGCAGCGCCTTATCGGAGTGCTCAAGGATCCTTGAAACCAAACGAAACGAAACAAGAAGAGGCACAAAGGGTCCGTCTAAGTATTGTCTTTGTCTTTGTCTGAATTCGCCCTTTGTTGCGGGGCAACTAATACGCCTAAATTAGATCGAGATCGGCTTTGGAATTGAGGTGCTCGGGGTGCCTGTGTGGCAGCTGTTGTACAGGATCCTCCTCCTCACTTCGCCGGTAGGTGTATCCTGACTCTTGTGGCCACTGGGCCAGCCATTAACTTCACTTTCGATGACTACATTTTTTCTTTTTTTTTGGCAACACAAATCATGCTGAATAGCACCTGATGCGGTTGGCTCATTAGGCAATTATCGGCTGAAAGATGCCAAATTCAGTCCGTTTGAATTATGAGGACTAAGAGGAACGAACTGTCGGAACATAGAGTCATTTATTTTTTGTAAGATTTTTGAACATTTTAATAACACAGGAACACAAAATTAAACTTTGTGAAATTTCCACGAACCATTTCAAGTTTTCCATGATATGTGGGTGCTTCTGAGTAAAAGTCCCATACAAAATTATTTTCCATCACCTCTAGAACTAAGAAACTAAATACGTTCACTGAACATACATAGAGAAATGTATATGTTTACTTTCATTCTGTGGATGCCTTGACTTTTTAAAATTTGACAACATTTAGGGTAGATAAAGAAATAGAAAACGGTTTTATTAGTATAAGAATCCAATAAATGTCCTCTGAAAACGCTTTAAACCGAAATTAAAGCATACAATGACAATGATACAATGATAGTTAAAATTACTTCCATTCAGATTTAATTCTCGAATTGTTTTTCCATCGAAAATCTCTACATTTTGGGATTTTCACCTTTCCAAAGACATGGGCATGGTTCACAATGGGGACTATTTTTTGATGCCGTGATGTTTGGGTATGTCCTACCGAAATAATAAGGTGCTTTATCGGCCACATAATTCGAATGTCGGCAAACATCGGTTTTTGTTTCTTAGCTATACCGAACCTGTGGTGTGGGACAAGTTTGTGGGACTTTTAGCACCTATATCATGAATGGTTTTTTTGTGTGTACTGTAATTTACTGTGATATACTGGAACTGGAAAAATTAAATTTTATAACTTTTTAATTTTGCTTAAGAATTACTTAAAAAATTTAATTTATTTTTACTTGACACATTTTATTTTTTTTTTTGTATTTGGAATTTTTAAAATATTTAATTTATTTATTAAAAAATATATTAAAAGAAAATTTATTGTGGGAAAGTGTTAAATAAACATAAATTTGATGCGAAGTGATTTCCTCACCTTTTTAAGATAGTTGGTGATTTTAAAGTTATTTGACTTTCTTGTTCTAAAACACATACTTATAATTCAGCTTCCATATGCTGTTCTAACCGCAGACATAAATTACATGGAAAATATTTGCCGCTCTACAAATATTGCGGCACTTAAGCCCAACTGCTGCCACCCACCCGCCACCCCCTCCTGCTCTCCATCCTACTGCACCCAGGGGGTGGTGCTGCACCACCAATGTCGCAACACTTTCCAGACAATTGCAATAGCGAGTGCAACAAGCGTCGCAAAAGTTGCAGCCTCCCGCGCCCTCCCGCATGTTTTATTACTTCCGCGCACTTTCGCTTCGGCAGAATGTGGCATATAGTATGTAGCATGCCGCATGCAGCATGTAGTATGTGTGTGGGAAAGTTCTCAGTGCGTTTAGCAGTTGGATAGCGGAGAATCAGGAACACGAGGAGTACCCAGAGGAGGGTCTACATATAGGAATAGGAAGTAAGCTTCCTTCATCCTCTGTTGTCTCTGGCGTTGTTGCCACATTTTGGCGGTGGCTGCGAATGGTTTCCTGTCGGAGATGCGTTGCCACAATTGTATAAAAGCACTGCGAGAAAATTACTCAAAGGGAAAAAAATCACTAAAAGGAAAATAAAAACAAGAATTATAACTTAAAAATCTAAAATATGGTTCAGAAAAAACTAATGTTTTCTCTTGTTATCGTTTCCTTAAATCATTTTATTATCATTTAATTTATGGAATAATATTTTGGAATAAATCAAAGTAGGTACTTTTGCGCTTTGTGCATGGGGACACATGTGGCGTAGCAAAGAAAAAAAGTTAAGGCTGAAGATGCAGAATCCTTGGCAGGATACACCGCCCAGACACTGGCAACTGTTCACTTTCGCTGTTCCCCAGCCTCCCTTCCCCTGCCATTTCCTTTTTTCATATTTTTCCTTTTTGTCATTAAAGTTTTACCGCGGCATCTGTCACTGCCAGAGGAAAACGGCTTTAAAGCCAGCTAAATTTTAATTGCCCTCGCGAATTTACGGCGAGCATCAGCAGCAACAGTCGCAGTTCATTTACAAAAAACTGGAACAAATGTTGAATGTTACTCCTTTTTTAGCTCACAGTTATTTCTTCCTTCCTTTTTTCCATTTTTTCGTTTTATTGCTGGGGTCTCCTCTTTTTTACAGCCCAGTTGCTGGTTTGTGGCCTCGTTTTGGCCACAGCTTCTCCGCCGTATATCAAGAATTAATTAGCGTAATGCATTCACTCGCGGACATTCAAAGGGGGAGGACTTCTTTTATATGGCCCACTGATCGTGAAAAGTGTTTACCGCCAGCACGAGTTTTTCCGCATTTTTCCTTAGCTAAAAAAGAGGAAGTTTCGCATTAAATATGCAGGACAAGCATTTGCATGATGACAATGCCAGGGCTGCAACCGATTTGGGTTTTAAAAATACTTAGGGAAAGCTTAAGTTGCAGAAATATTTGGACAGAAAATTTAACTTGAAATAATTTGATTTTTATATTTATTATATCTTTTCCTGATTTATGGGTTTGATGATATATGGGTTAAGGTTAATTTTTCCTATTGGTGGTAATTAATCACCGCCAGGATCCAGTCAATGTAGCTGAGGACATCCGTGAAAGCGCTTGCCTTCGAGCACTGGGCGTTCGTAAAGCTGGCGATTCCGATTTGTATGAAGCGTTGAGAGTTCTGGAATGGCACCAATGTGCCCACTGGACCGCCGGAGTCACCGTTGCACAAATTGCTATCCCAATTTCCGGCACAGAACATGGTGCTTGTGAGGGATCGATAGATGAATCGCTGGCAGATCTCCGGATGCTGGCGTGCCAAGTCCACTGTCATCAGTTTGCCGCTATCACTATCCGATTCCGTTTTGCCCCAGCCAGTTCCAGTGACCGGATCCACGGAGTTGATGTAGTTCCTCCACCTGGTGTCCCACACAATGCAAATGGGCCTGATGTTGTCTGTAAAGAATAAATGACCCTTAGAACTCTCCATACTCCGATTTCTTTGAGTAGAACCCACCTGTGTACTCCACTCTTCTCACTAACCGCAGAATGGCTATATCGTTGGCCATCGTATCCGGATCGTAAAGCCTGTGCCGGAAGCCTCTCTCCACTCGGGCCTCCGTTCGAAAGGTGCAGTAGCTCCCATGACATGTTTCAAATTCTTCCCTATCGTACTCCCCCAAGCGAGCTATTCTACAATATGGATATATTTTTAAATGATATTCTCTAATAAAGAAAACTTTATTATAACTTACAGTTGTGTATTGGGTAGAAAACAATGTGCTGCAGTTAGTACCAGGCCTGCAAAAAATACAAATAAATTAAAAAACTGTTACCGAATTTATCTACAATTACTAACGATGAGTGATTAAAGTTCCGCCGCAAATGAACCTTCCTGTCGTCGAGTGAAGAAAGGCCATCCAAGGACTCGATGTCAATCCCGCGATCGTTCCATTTTTGACCCGAGCTCCAATGGGATTTGGAGCCCGAATACCACAAGCCATGTCAATGAACTGAGCGGTTCCCAAAAATGGAAGAAGTAAGCACACAAATCCGATCACAACGGTATTCATTTTGCGACTGATGTCTGAAACGTAGCCTCTTTGGGATTAATAGCCGCCAAGAGTCGAGCTTATCAGGCACTTGATTATGGGAAAATTATTTATTCCAGGAAATCGCTACTTATTTGTAAAATTTTTTTCTGAATTATCAAGAATTCATTTTATTACTGACTTATCGGAAATTGATTACAGCATTACATACGATATATACGAATAAATAGAAATCCCTCTAAATAAATAGAAATAAATGTTAATAACATAAGGAGTTATAAAGTAGATAACTAAATTGATCTATGCATATAGTTCAAACCTCACTGGAAAATGTTGCTCTTTAATGTAAAAATGTCAACTTAAAATTGTAACAAAGAAAGATTCGGCTTAAAACTTAGAAAGAAGCCTTCATTTGCCAAATGTCTCCACCACCATCTCTATCCAGCCGGAATAGGTGCTCAAATCCGTATAGACACTCGGAGCCCGGCACTCCTTGTCTCCAAAGCTGGTTAACCCGTACTGGACGAACTTTGGTTCCCCGTAGTAAGTTCACAATACCTCCGAGAGGTCCGCCCGGAATCACCCATGCAGGTGTTGGTTTCGCTGTCGCCGGCACAGATCTGATTGAGACCCACGGGAACATTGTAGAGATCACTGCAGATGTTCCGATTCATTACCACAATGCTGGCCTCCTGGAGATCTGAGGCTTCGGATCCGTTGTCTGTTAGTCCCCAACCAGTGGCCGTGAGCGACATGCCATCCTCCACCAATCGTTGCATCGCCGGATCCAGGATAATGCAGATTGGTCTAATGTGGACTTTTAAAACTCATTAAATTAATTAAATTATAATATGTATTCCCATATAAACCCACCGTTGTACTCCACAGATCTGGCAAGTCGAAGCATTGCAATGTCGTTCAAATAGATCGTGGGTGTAAAGTATTTATGCTTGAAGGCACGGTCAACCTCGTAGTCCTCGGCTCCAAGTTGGCACATTGAGTTGTCGCTGGAACTTAGACTCCTTCCTCCCAGGCGAACAGTCCTAAAGGATTAAAATTTTCCATTTTCAACTATTAAATCCTCTGCGTTCGGAAGTACTCACAATTTTCGAGCCGCATCAAGGCAATGGGCGGCTGTTAGGACAAATTCTGCAAATAAAAGTATTAGGTTGAAAATTATTTTTATAATACTACCGATACTAACGGCGATTGATGAGTGTTCCGCCACAGTAGAACTGCGATTCGTAGTGCAAATAGGCCATCCATGGATGGGCGGAGATCTGAACATTCCTGCCCCCGATAATTCTCGTCCTATAGGCAACATCAGCTCGAATTCCGCAATTTGGCTCCAAAAGTCTGGCCAATACCAAAGGGCAAAGCATCAGGCAGAAAATGATCACTTTAATACCAGCAGCTGATCTCATTGCGAGTCGAGAATTAAATGGAACCGACTGAATCGAGCGACTTTATTAATACTTATCAGAAAGAGGCTTATCAACCGAGTCCAGCTTATGAAAATCACAGCTGCTCAGAAATAATTAATACACTACCTTAAAACACTGAATAACATTAATTATTTGTTTATGAATATTTAAAAAATTTAATATATTTTTTCGCATTCATTTAATTATATTCCCTTAACCCAAATAAAGTTCCTCGTAACTTATTTTTAATCATTTTCATTAACTTACCTTTCGCTTTTTAGCCTGGATAATTGAAATCTGTCTGATTACTCTTGGCCAGCATTCGTCGACATCCGAGTTGACTGCAGTTGAGTTGGCTTAATTAAATTTGCGGCAAATTAAATGTGCCTCTTTTGGCTCTTTAACCCGTTTTTTGCCAGGTCGGTTAAGACCACGCCCACGAAGGCCAAAAACGTGGCTGTTGACAGGCAACGATGACGATGATGTCCTCGGTTTCAGCCAGGTGCAATGAATGAGGTGACTGGTGAGGGGTAAGGGGTTTCAGGACACTATCGCCATTTTGTTGTCAGCTGCTTGTGGCAGGCGACATCAGCAGAAAATGCTCGAAAAGCAGGAAGGCGGCAGCAAAATGCATGCCAAATTAAACAGTAAATGCAGCAAGCCAAAAGGAGCTGCTCTCTCCCCGCTATAAACAACAAAAACAAAAAAGGTGAGGGACCCAAAACCCGAAAAGCCAAAAAAGCATTCGACCAACCCAACCGAACCAAGCCAACAAACAAACAAACAAACGAACAAACATGCGAATTCAGTGTGAAATTTTAATGCACAAAATTGCATGTGTGTTTGCGGCCATTGTTGTTGTTGCTGCTGCTGGCGTTTCCCTTCAGCCAACCAACAAACAGCAACAACACAAATTACTGGCCACGTCAACACACGGAAAAAAAAAGAGTGAGACGAAATGAAACTGTTGCTGTCAGTCTGCGGCAGCAGCAAAATCAGCTTCAGGCCATGCAAAATACAACGGCAGCGGAATAAAACGAGAAAGTTTTTCGGGACAATGGAAGTTCATATACCCTTGTTGGTCATTCAAAATGTTCTGTAGCCTTAAAAAGTCTTAGTGTGAATTTTTATATTTTTTAGGATTTTTATGAAGAGCCTAGTAAAGTCCTTACCATTGCATTACAAATTAGAACTCGTTTTATTTAAAAATAAATAGTTTAAAATGACTGAAAGATTTTAATAATTATCGTAAGATAAATGTGAGAATGATTATATAATAAAGAAACCAAAAGTTCCAGTAAAGAATATTTGTAAGGATATATTTTCAAATGTAAGGTTTAATAAGATTTATTCATTTACTATCATAGTTATTTAATGGTTAGTTGGTTAGTTATTTATGGTTAGTTCTCCACTTTAAAAGATCAAAAGTTCCCACTCAAAGTGCCCACTATGAGAAAGAGTATGTGAAAGGGTTAAAACATGGTAACTGCAATTCATTGGCCATGAAGTTTTCCACCTGTCGACAATGCGTTGATTGCTCCCGCTCCTCGAAGGCAACAAAATCGGACAGGCTGAATATGTTGCTTATGTGTTGCTGTTGCAGTTGCAATTCCCAGACGCTGATTGTTGCCATTTGCCGGCGATCGGAGACCGATAAGTTGGAAAGAGACAGGCTGAGTTGAAAAGAAAGAGATGGGCAGCGCGAAGCTTCCCCTAGAACTCAGCGAAGCGTGGCCATAAACAATGACTGGGGACCCGGACCCTTCTAGTTGGTTTATTGCATTCATTTAGCGCATTCCCAAACAAAAGTCGCTGCGAGTGTGCGACTCGTCTGTTTTATAAGCTCCATAGGCAGGGCTGTTTGGGCCGTTTTAGCTGTTTTATGGCCCTGCCACACGCCATCTTGGCGAAACTCCGGACTTCGGGCCGCACTTCTCCACTTCGCCATTGTTGGCAATCATTGAGGCGTTAAGGGAAAACATGGAAATTGCATGCGAAAGTCAATCAGCCAAACAAAACATGGCCCTAAGTTGACAAAAGAGAGGGAGTAGTATTTAAAATTCTCTGGGAATTGCAGAGTTTAAAAGGAAATGCATTTACTTAACGTTAACTTAATTTTCATGAAAATCAATAATTTTTAAAAACCAATTCTAGAGAAAGGTAATTATTAATCCACCTAAAGAACACATTTTAATTAAGCTGTATATATTTTTTTTAATTTACAAAAGCAAAATGCAAATATGAATTGCCTTTCCCCAACAATAGAAATGAAAATGCTTTTTCAGGTTGTTTTGAATGTGAAATTTCTGATGACCCATCGGTTCGGTTTTGTTTCGGCCGGAATTGCACATTTCTTTGTTTAGAGTTTGTTTTGCAGAACGAACGAAGGAAACTCATGCATGTCCGTAGCCTGATTATAAACATTATGGACTCTGGCTCAGGCATTTTCCCCTGGAAATGCTGGGAGATTGCTGAAATTGCACACACAAATGAAGGAGAAGAGCTTTGTGCCAAGAGGTGTTCGACTCGTTTGTTCTGCAGGTCGATGCATTTTAATGATGTGCCGGGGCCCCACAAATATAATTTCATTTTTGCATTTCTGCAACTTTTGCAAGCTGCAGACTTCAGACTGCTGACTGCAAATTGATTGCCGGCCAACAAAAGGGCACCAACTGCAGCGGCACTCACGCAACGCATGGCAACAATTGCAGCCGGTTTAATGAGCTCAAAAATGCGCGCAACAATGAAGAGCTGGCCGGGCTCCAAACCAAGGGCAATTTCCCAATGGCCAGCCAACATCCCACAGCCCACAGCCCAACCCCCTTTTCGCCCACTTAAGCCACTGCATTCGTGTAATTAAATGCAATTTTATTGCCACGATCGGCGGGATATACAATGAAAAAAAGGGAAAAAGGTGGGCCATAAAGGCGAGGGCCACAAAAAGTGTTGAAAGTACTGCTAACGGCGCTGCAAACTTGATTTATGCAGCACAAAAGGAGCTCGGCTAACGTGGCTAACTCAGCGCCCCCTGGCGGACAATGGCTGCCACTTCCGTCGGCCAAGAAAACAATGAGCGGCGTAATTAATTTCAATGTAAACAATTTATCAAGTGCATTCCGTAGGCAGACCAAAACAGACCCGATCAGTCCTCTGGAAAATTATCTAGTGTTGGATAGGGCAAAAAAAAGCAACCACAAAAATTAAAAAAAAAAAAAATAATAATTAGGTGTAAAATTTAAATTTAATAATAAATAAGAAAAATAATAGGCAAAATACAAAGTATGAATAGAATGAACTTTCCATGGAAACGCTTTTAAAGTGGCTTCAACTCCCACGTCTAGTGTTGCAAAGGGCAAAACAAAGCAACGAATTAAAAATATAAATAGAACAAAATTTAAATGTACAAATTTAATAACAAATTTAATAGAATTGAAAAAAAGAAATTAAATGAAATAAGTTTTTACATGGAAATGCTTTTGAAAGGGTTCCAACTGTCACGTTCCCAGCGGCACTTTCCTTAAAAATGAACTTTGAAAACTTTTCGAATTAAGCAATCCTTTGGCTGCTTTTAACCAACACTTTTGGCCCGCAGACGGCTGACCAACACTTACTTATAATCGAATTGGGCAAATAAATCCAAACCGGAAAAGCACCCAAAGCCATCAGCATTATCTACTCTAATTAAGATTGCCGAAAAACTCAGTTTGCCAAGCACTCTTCTTCGGGGCAACCAGAAGTGCATTTTGGGTTACAGCTACGTGCTCATCAGCATAATCAAGTGGGCGAAAGTGGGTGGCTCGGCTGAGAAGTGGAAGTGCAAGTAAAACTTAACTGCAATTTGAAAGAGATTACAATTATTTGATTGCACTTGAGGGCTGAGAGAGCTGAGCGGCGAACTTAGCCGAGGCCAAAAGTATTTTGCGAGTCATAAATTTTGAATGCCAAATGCCGGAGATAAAGCTTATGCAGCTTATCGCGATTGGGGAACAATACTTGGGGATACGATGGATGAGCCGAGTGAATCACGGTTCCAAGGAGTTGAGTCATTTTTGGGTACAATGAATGGATCCGCTTGTCTCTTGGCGATCTGTTCGCCATCTCAAATGGCAAGTCTCAGGGCCCCGACAGTTGTTCATAAATTAAGACATCCCACAATAAATAAGCCAAGCAGCGAAATCCCCGAGAGAAGGAGGAGCACACGTGTCTGCGGAGCAGGAGCTCTTCAAAGAGTTTGTCAAGCGGCAAAAGTCTGCGGCTAATTATGCGATGCGATGGGTGGGGGCTTCCCCTGCTCCTCTAACCACTTCCCGCATCAAGATCTCGCCTCAGACAGCGACTGCAATTGCATTTCGCATTTGCACAAAAGACGGAAAAGAAATGCCAAAAAGCCGAATGACATGTGAAAATATGCAAATATCAAAAGTGAATGAATGGGTCTGGGACCGGTCTGGTCCGCTCTACTTCTGCTGGTCTGGTTGGGTCTGGTCTGTCTTGTCTGGTATGATATAGTTCAGCTCCCAGTTCCGTTGGCTCTCTCATTAAATATAATGGACCCGGTCGCAAGACGAGACCCAGCGTCGTCGTCACCAAGCGCTTTAATTATGATGTCGAAATTCGCATTAATTGCCACAGAAACGACGAGTTCCGACTGCAGGGCCAGGACTTTTTATTTGCACTGGAAAAAAAAATACTAGAAAAAAGAATCCCTTTCTGTACCTTACAATTAACCAGAGTGAGAGGAAAATCTACGAATAATTCCATTTATTAGAATATTCTGTAGCTAAGTTTATTCTCCCATTTTTGCTGATTATTCCTTTTAAGTATATTTTTTCTGAGTGTACTTTCTGCACTTTAAAGTACAGAATGGTGGAAAAAGTTCCCTAGTTCTCGTCGGCACCCTTGACAGCAGTTTATATAATTTTGACAAACGTTTAAATGCCTGCCAGACGACCGTCGACAGTTGTCAACTGATATTGTGGGTTGTGTGTACTGCGACTTGA